TATTTTCACTTTAAAAGCTCAGTTCAAATTCACCTCATTTTACATCTCAAACAAACCATCAGTCCATACCAGTTTATGAATTCACACCTTTTTGCAGATCTTACTCTTGGGGTGTGTGATCAATAGCATAATGAAGCTCGAAATCACTATTAGAGCTTTAGCTACCCTTGAGTTCAATGACAGAAACAAATAGCTCGGCCAAGCTTCAATTTCTACATGTCAATTCAATAGAAAGTGTTTTTAGGTCATGTTCTTGGATGAGCATTTTTGAGAGATTCGGAATTGTTTCCATGACGTATTTTTTTTCTGCCGATTGTGTACAAGTCTGGAAAAAAAAAACAAATTCTTCTAATTGTTTCCATGACGTATTTTTTTTCTGCCGATTGTGTACAAGTCTGGAAAAAAAAAACAAATTCTTCTACAAAATGCACTCATTGTTTGGACTGACCCTTGAATTCAAGTACCCAAAAGAACACAAAAAGCTTTCTCTATGTGATTCAAATTGGCTCATTACCTGAGCTCTCTGAAGTATATCCTGCTAACGGAATACACACCAAATAAAGACGCTCGCAAATTGGTTGTAAAACACGTATCGACTGCAATAGTTTTTTTTGAAAACCGCGCTCATGACTTAGATTCGAAATAAGGGACATAATATTGGTAGAACAATGGAAATAGCAGTTCCTCCAGTTTTGTGCAGTTGCACAAACTAAGTCTGCATTACGTAGAAGAAACGTAGAACTACAGCGCAATATTTTCAGAGGATATTGCTTGTAGCTGAGTGAAGATTGTTTTTAGAGGACAATTCTTTTGCAATCCCAGATAGATGTTTTGCTTAGAAGCAATGACCGCATTTTTTTCTGAAAAATGTTTAGCCGAAGCTGACAATAAGCAATGAAGGCATGGTTTTTTTGTTTCAGTCTGATATTCATTCTTCGAAATGATTTAGAACGCTCTACGTCACCCAGTTCCCATTTTTTTCTCCTAAAAAAAACGGTAATGATTCCTTTACAGATTTCAGCAGAATTCAGGAACTATCACTCTATATTTCTATATTGGATTTGGATGAAGAAACATAGACAGCCTTACACATTGCATGTTAGTAGTGAATTAACACACATGATGTTGGGATCATTTCCGCTGAAGTTTTCATACTTATAACCCATAAGCTACATATTGTAGTTTTTGCAGCGGAAGCGTTCTGGTAGTGAATTTCTATGCTGACACGATTGTTGTGTTTTTTCATGCTGTATAGTTCGATCTGCATTTCCGTTTTGTAAATGTCGGTTATCGGTTAATGTTTTCCAAACCTAATTTCGAAAAAAAAAATGCTAAAAAAAAGGAAAACATCAGAAGATAAACGATATCATGTTTTTTTACTCACGTTGGTAGTCTTGAAATCAGTTGCAAAACCACAAGACAATTTTTCAACGCAATCAGTTCAAAAAAAAAAACTGATTAACAGCGTTTCTTTTTGCACTCGCAAGATTTTTCCGATGTGAGTTTGTTTACAAATATTTTGCCGCAACGCTGCGTTTAATACATATATGCCTCAATTTCTTTGAACCGGCAATTCAAAGAATGAAAAAAAATTCTCATACTAGGCAGCGAAAAAAAAAATCCCCATTTTTCTAACACTCAAAATCTGCCATTATGTTGAATTAAACACAGTTTGTTGTGCTTAATTAAGCATATCTTTTTTTTCGTTATGTAAACAATCGCATTATTTATACGTTGTATAACCATATACTCGGTATAAATTACACAACGCCTTATTATCACATGAACCAATCCACTTGTCGCTCAATTAATTCATGTAAAATATAACTTCAGAATTACAAATGTCATCTAATACCGCTTAATATTTTTGTTAACTATGTAATTTTCGCTAAAAATGTCATCCAATACCGCCTAATATTTTGTTAACTATGTAATTTTCGCTCGCCAAGTTGTTTTTATTCATGTTCTAAACAAAAGCTGTTTCCCTCACCCAATTTCCACCTACTGCTCTTCAAAAACCAGTCACGTCATCACACTCCTAGAATCTCCACTTAAAAGTATTTCCATCCGTCAGTCTCCGAAAGCATGCCTTATCCATGCAACTGCATGTCACTGCCATTTCCAAGCAGTCCCTAACGTCACATCCTCCATTTTTATTTCTCAGCTTGAGGACAAGCTTACTCAGTACCCCCAGGATGAGGTGAAGGTCGTTGGTTGGTTATCCAGCTCGCCTAAACCAAAGTCCCCATTCGATCGATAAATCTGAAGATAATGGTACCGAAGTCGAAGTTCTTTATGGTCTCGCCGTATGACGTGTACTTCTAACACACGTAACTCGGAAGACAGTTCAACAAAAGCCAAACAAGCTCGAGGACGAGCTTTCTGAAGGAATGGAGATGTCGGGACGCAGCTATTACCCAACAGCTGCTCGCGATGGAGGTTGGCCTAAGATAACGAACCTCTAGCAGTGACCTCCGCCCGCCGGCAGGAGCCGGTGCTCTCTTCCCCTTTCCCTTTCCCCTTCTGTATATATCTTGTATAATAAATATTAGAGTAAGACTTATGTAAACCCGCTACACCATCAGGTAAAGGAGTAGCTAGCCTTTAAATCTCAACTGACGAATGGGAGATTAGGGCTTTATCGGAGATCATCTGATCTGACGGAGGTTTACTACGCAACGTAGTACGAGCAATACCGATGCAGAATTTCCTTCCTTTCCAAAAACTATGTTCCGAATACGATTTTTTGGATGTGCTGAGATAATCGTCAAAACTTGCGACCCTTCATTTTCAACATGTCTGAGTTTCGTTTAGTCCCAAAAAGTTTTATTCGAGATTTTCAAGGAAGATTTGACAGCCTGCAAGTAGATGAATTTTGGAATTTTGCTAGATATTTCTCTAAAAATATTGAATTTCATAAAAAATCGCGTAGCACGCAATTGCAACAAACACTGCAAAATCTTCAAAGTACTAGAGCTTCAAACTCGATTCTTATCACTACTAACTTTACGAAGTGAAGAGCGATTATCGCCACCAAATTAAGGGATTCCAAACTTATTGTTAGGGTACGAAAGTGCGCAATCATTAAATTCAGACATATTGCTATTTCCTTTGCAATTTCCGCGTGTCTTGCAAAGAAAAGACATCGGTTAAGAAGGATTGGTGCGTAAATGCTTACTTTTTACGAGGTCTCTTTAGTTCGAATATAGAACCTGGTCACTTAGAAGAATAGATCTCAGAGCTAAAAGAGAAGCCATAGAACTGCAAAAAAATTGCATTGATTTGCAAAAGGATTGCCGTACCAGCTAGCCAACAAAGCATCTTCAAAATTTCCAAATAGATGGCGAAAAGCTGTAACCTCCAGCAATTATCTCAGCACTGTTTATTACATGATGAACATGGCAGTTTGGAGAGGAACAGATTTTATACAGATACTTCTTGGAGTGCCTCTTCGTGGATTAGTTCAAAAAAAACTGACAAAGCTTTTGCACCGACCTAACATTCAAGAGCTTCAAAACAATAAAATGATTCGTATGCTTTAGGGCCTAGCGTGATCGTGACAGTTGAGTTTGCGGCCATTGCAACTAACACGTTGACGACAAGCCCTTTTTTGTCCGTCCCTGTGGACGAGGTGTTACCGTGCACTTTTACGCCTGGCTCTTTGTGTATCGTCGAGTCATTCGTAATTAATATGTGAGACTGCACACAAAGCCTTTCAACGTACGGCACCCTTAACATTAACTTCTCGATCAAATATTTTCTAACGTAACAAACTGTAAAATTGTATACTACTAACTAACCAATATCCTACTAAACTAAAAGAAACAAAGAAAGAAGGTGAAACCGCTGAAATGAGCAGGTTCCAATCTTATAAGTTCGTCAAATAGGGCATATGATGTGCAATACGCATATTAAGTTACAAATGACTCGAGCATATATGCATGCATCTATGTGTAAAATATGAACTCACAAGTGGGCGGGGCGGCTTCCCCCCCCCCCCCCATGTAAGAAACTACGCCCACTCTTCAAAAATGCTAAAAATTGCCTGAAAACTCTGAATTCGTGCAAATTCCGGCGTTTTTGAAAAGTAGGCGACGCTTGCCACTGAGGGGGCGGAACTTGCCTGACGGGGGTGGGGCGAAGTTTAAAGCTGCTTGAGGCTCTGCGAGTCATTTGTGACCTCTTCCATACAAGTTAAACACAAAAAACAAATACGTCTCTTGCGAGATGCAAATGGAGTGGGCGGAGTTTGCCAAAAGAGGGCAGGGCCATGAAAAACTTTTGAGCCTAAATTGATTATGTGGACAAAAATTAGAACGATTGAGCGCATGAAAATCACAATTTAGGATGCCGCGCACCATTGCACGGCACTGTCGTCAACGTGTCAAACTTTCTCAGTATCTTTCTCTTCCTAAAGTTTTCTGCCATCACATGTTAGCTTCCATTTATCTGCAAAGATTTTAAAGATTTTGAGACTTTCTCATTTTAAAACCGTCCTTGAGAGCTATTTACTTTCTTCATCTGAGTATTCATAAACACTACTGTTCTTTTTCTTTGCACGTATTCGCGATTGTTTTTTATTGTTCTGTCGTGCCTTTTGGCATGTACTGTTGTTCAGTGTTATAATTTTCACATAGGGTTCCCTATGTAAATGAAAATGAAATGAAATGAAATGAAAAAATAAGGACTTGTTTTCCTGCGTGTGCAATGACCGCAAATTCACCGACACCCGCGACCATGCAGAGCCCTACAGCACATTTTGTGAAAAAAACTTTCTCGATATGTACACTCCTATCATTTGAACTACCATAAGCCCTGATATGAAGCAGGGCTAAGACCCAAACAAACGCTCAAACTTTTTAAAATAAACTCTCACAAGCCTTACAGCTTAAAGAAGGGAGTGCGGTAAAAGGAAGACAATGGTAATCAACATTCCTTGTCTGTATACATAGCACTACTTCGAAGGTCCAAGGTTCGCGAGTATTCATCAGATAACATACCAATTGTTCCACCAAGTGTTATTCCGAAGAACCCGTATAGCAACACCCGATCCACAACCATTGCTACAAACTTCCAGTCGTCACGATACTGGAAACAAACTTTCAAGCAGGAAAGAAAGCATTGAGCAAAAAATCGGTCCTTTTCCGTTGTCCGGACTCAATTCAATCAAGAAATTTTGCTTTTGTGATGCCAAATATGGTTTGAAGCGATAGAAAAAGAGAGAGAATGTGTGTGTGTGTGTGTGTGTGTGTGTGTGTGTGTGTGTGTGTGTGTGTGTGTGTGTGTGTGTGTGTGTGTGTGTGTGTGTGTGTGTGTGTGTGTGTGTGTGTGTGTGTGTGTGTGTGTGTGTGTGTGTGTGTGTGTGTGTGTGTGTGTGTGTGTGTGTGTGTGTGTGTGTGTGTGTGTGTGTGTGTGTGTGTGTGTGTGTGTGTGTGTGTGTGTGTGTGTGTGTGTGTGTGTGTGTGTGTGTGTGTGTGTGTGTGTGTGTGTGTGTGTGTGTGTGTGTGTGTGTGTGTGTGTGTGTGTGTGTGTGTGTGTGTGTGTGTGTGTGTGTGTGTGTGTGTGTGTGTGTGTGTGTGTGTGTGTGTGTGTGTGTGTGTGTGTGTGTGTGTGTGTGTGTGTGTGTGTGTGTGTGTGTGTGTGTGTGTGTGTGTGTGTGTGTGTGTGTGTGTGTGTGTGTGTGTGTGTGTGTGTGTGTGTGTGTGTGTGTGTGTGTGTGTGTGTGTGTGTGTGTGTGTGTGTGTGTGTGTGTGTGTGTGTGTGTGTGTGTGTGTGTGTGTGTGTGTGTGTGTGTGTGTGTGTGTGTGTGTGTGTGTGTGTGTGTGTGTGTGTGTGTGTGTGTGTGTGTGTGTGTGTGTGTGTGTGTGTGTGTGTGTGTGTGTGTGTGTGTGTGTGTGTGTGTGTGTGTGTGTGTGTGTGTGTGTGTGTGTGTGTGTGTGTGTGTGTGTGTGTGTGTGTGTGTGTGTGTGTGTGTGTGTGTGTGTGTGTGTGTGTGTGTGTGTGTGTGTGTGTGTGTGTGTGTGTGTGTGTGTGTGTGTGTGTGTGAAGACCAACTGCCGTTTCAAGAGAAAATGGCATGTTTCTATTCTTTGACAAGTTTCGTTTGAACATACCTAGTATGCGTAGAGCTCTTCTTTTCAACAAGCAGGTTCACCGCAAGATATTAGGTTGTCCCGAAAGTTTTGTCCGTTTTTTCAAACCACTATAAAACTACGCACAATAAAGACTTGAATAAGTTTCAACATGCATTTCAACATGCATTCGATGCAGCTTTTCTTTCTTTTTCTTATGGATACATATTCGCACCATAATCGTGTATGCTTTTTTTTTATAATTGCCAAAATTCTTCACCCGTCAATTTTACCTGCTCAAAGTTCGACTAATTTTCAAAAATTTCCTTTCAAAGTTTCGAATAGAGCAATTCTCGGACTACAAGGCGATATTTTTATATTCTCCTATTCTGCTGTTTTTAGCTTTAAGAAATTATTTTTTTCGGAGGACTCGATTTTTGCCCAAGTTATGAAACACGCAAACTGCAGCAAATACACGAAAGCTTTTGAAATTCCTGTAAATTGAAACATGATTTTTATTAAACATTATTTATGCAACATAACCAAGCTTGATTTGCTTTGAGAAAGCAGCTTTCTGGAATTTTCGATAATTTTAGGTGGTAAATGCAATCAAAAAGCCGCGGTTCTTCTCAAATAAATGATTATTACGGACTTGATAAAAGCGCCCCATATAATCTAAAATAGGCAAAATGTAGCCAAAGGTTTACTCTACATAAAAGTTACCAGCGCTCATTAGAAATATTAGGATAAAATTTTTTGAAATTCAGTAAAGATTTGGCGTTACGGCTGAACTGCTCGAAAAGCCATGTCGATAACATCGCAAATATAGAGTAGATCAGAGAGCAAATACAGCTATAAGAAAGAGGATAAAAATCTGAATCGAAATGCACCTAATCCATGGATTGGTGTTCTGTGAGTTTTAGTAAGCGATGAAAAAAACGGACAAAACTTTCGGGACAACCTAATATCAATTATTCTCCTGACTAAGAGACACCAGCACGCTGTGCTTACGTCTGACCAACAATATGAGTGCGATTTAACCCATTGACGACGATGTGGACCCCCGGTGGCCCACACCTCTTGCAAGATCGTATTATTTGCAGGTCTAGTATTTTTTCCACATATTAATATTTCCAATTTTTTGTATTCTTGGGATCTGTAGGCTCTGCCGTTCAATATAATGTTAATAGTTGTTTACAAAACAACGTTGCATTCCGTAAATAAGCAAAACCTTCCCACACTGAAAGTGCTGTGCAAAATCGCGTCGTCCCCAGCCGCCTCGCAAAATTAGGCGTCATCGTCAATGGGTTAACGCATTTTGGTACATTACTGCTAGAATATCGTGAAATAACATGTTCGAACTCGCGTTTCAGGCAGGAATAGATCGGCAAAATGGACCCTAGTCAGATTTTGGTAGCGTTTGGTAGTACGCCCGCCAAGAACACCTTGGCCTCACCCCCACCCTCCAGTTCATGCGCTGAGTCCTGAAAATGCGCTTCAAAACTTCAGCAATGACGCCCAGTCAATAAAAGTGAGCGGGGCTGGTGGAGTTTTGAAGCCCGTTTTCGGGACTCAGCGCATGAATTGGAGGGTGGGAGTGGGGCTACGGTGACGTTGGGGTCTGATACCTAACGCTACCGGAATCTGAGGGGTCCATTTTGCCGATCCACTGCCCTTAAGGGCAGAGCATACATCACGCGATTTCATCGCCTCGTGATTTTCACAACAAGATGACTGTTACGAGGTCATTGCATGCTGATCATTTCAAATTTCGGTTGTAATAGTTAGTCACGATTAGTCGTGTAGGAGAACTATCACAACTGAAATGCAAATGATCTGCAAGCAAGTTCGTGGCAGTTGTCTTGCTGGGTGAATCACGAGGCGATGAAATTGCGTGATGTATGCCCGGTCTTTTGGTAAATCAACCAAATCTGCCCCAATCCCACTCAGGGCAGAATTCGCGTGGCGGGAATCCGCGTTGTTAGGTCTTGCGTCACGCCTACGGTCTGTTTGCCTGCCCCCTCTTCGATCTTTGCGCTCTCCGACAGCGCGCATATATATGCAGCGCAAAGTATAGGGCACTCGAAAAATCGTGACATGGCACGACCGCGCGCGACACGCACTTACCTCCTGGCAACCGCATTTTCTTAGTTTTCATCTCTATTGGAATGGCTTTTCTGCTTACATATGACAATAGACATTGGAAGTGACTGAGCTGAAGGTTGAGGTGATGCCCTTTTTGTATAAGTGTTTTCTGCTCCTTTGGGCGCAAAGACCGCAGTCGCATCCGTTGTCACGTTTTTATAGACGACCTATACTGGCGCTGCGAGCTCGGAAATTCAGCGAACGGTTTGGCCAGATCCCGATTAGGGCAGGTTGTAACTTACTCATGAACTTGCTAGTCAAACGACACAAAGTGTGCACGTTCTCTTACAAGGAGAGGAAGGTCGGTCGAAATGGCTTTTGAGATGAGATATAGTACACTATCTTGTAGAGCTTGGAACTCTGATTCCATATATACCTTTGCTACCTGCTACGGGCCGCTGGGCGAGGAGTTATGAAGGTTTTTGTAGGTTAAATTTCGAATGCAGTAAAATCGAAACCTTTTCTTGACGTTCAAATGAGGCAGCAGCGAGCTGGTATTCTTGAAATTAAGAACACTTATTCACCGAGCGACCCGACTATCAGTTGAGCCCTAAAAAATGTTGCGAATGATTTTACACTAATCTTGCATTTGACTTTTTACTCACAGGAACCTTCATAACTCCTCGCCCAGAAGCCCGCAGCAGATAGCAAAGATAGATTTGGAATTAGCGTTTCAAGCTCTATAGAACAATTAACATCTCATCCTAAAAAGCCACTTCGACCAACCTTCCTTCCCTTGTTAGTCAGAATGAATAATACTTCATTTCGCCCCACACTAAAGCGTTAGTCAATTTTAACCCTACTAATATTTTGCGTGCTGGGATAAATGTTGATGCGCAATTATAAAGCGAGCCTGATTGGTAAAACACCTTAATGAGGGCAACATTTTTCTAGAATCCGACTGAGAATGACTGAGAAATTTGGACAAGCAAGATGTTTTCGAGACGTAAGAATCATGAAGTTGCTTTACAAAAACTGTTTATTCTTCTCCTTGATAAACTGATAAGACTATTACTACTAAGCGCTATGCTTATGTCGCCAGAAATGGCCTTTGAAAACAGGATAAAAAAATCATCGTGCTAGTCGTTCTTTCTTTGACATATGATAGACAGGCTCTATCAACAGAATATTCCATCCAAATATAGAGTACGTAGCTTATACCACTCAAAAGAGGTCCAGATAGATACCGAAAAATCTTAACCGACATTTCTTTATAAAACTAGGGATTACCGCAGGAACAGTTTGGTATGTATGACATTTCACGAACCTGCTTTGTCGTCTCATCATCCTTCATATTTTCGGTGATGAATTCGATGGCATCTACTGCTCGCTGAGCATCCGGAGCTAGTTCTTCGCATGACGGTTGACTTATTCGAATCAGCGGAGCCCCATCTCTGTTGAAAAATTCTGTGTATTCTTTCATAATCGCATCTAAGGGCTGTTTTCGCTAATGTGTTTTGTTTTTACTAATAGCCCTTACATGCAGTCTAAAAGAATAAATTTGAGGGCACTAGACCACTATCCATAGATCTTTCAGAAGTTAAACAAATGCTATAAACAGCGTTCGATGCAGAAAAACTTCCTTCTTCAAAGACTATTGCTTTTATTTCGATCCTTGATGGCCGCTCGAATAATCGCTTGAATTTTCAACCCATTGTTTTCACCTACCCTAAATTGAGCTATTTCTCTAAATTTTCATTTCTGACTTTTGAGAGTTTTGAACCGTTGAATAGAGTAAAGTGCAAGACAATGAATTTCTTGCATCTATAGGTGGCTATTTAATAAAACCTTGCAAAATGGACTTTTCAAAAATCGCCATTTTTCCGAAGTTGTAACACAGAGACCCTCAAACTCTAGTAAATTTTTTGAATTTGAATCTTCAAAGAATTGATAGTTATTTAACACTAATGTTACCAAGCAACTATAGTGTGGACCCCGGCCAGCTTCCCATAGGTACCTGCGCGACGCACCCGCAACGCATGCCTTCAGTGCGCCTCCTGTCCTGGCTTCTGATGGAAATCCTCCTTTCTCTCTTTTTTTTTTGTTTTGGGTGTACTATATTCTCTCTATTTCAAGTATAAACAACTCGCAATGACCGGTGACGAGATTTCACGTGCTCTAATAGTTCTAAGAGCTTCAGTCTTGTGTAGTAGTCTTGTGTTTTCCCTTTTTTCTCTGAAAAATTGAGATTTGATTGGAAATTAAGATAATATTTCTTCAAAAGCTTCTTGTATAAAATAAGAGTCCCTTTCGGTTTGATGTGTAAGGTGTGAACAGTGTCTCAAGTCAAAATTGAGCCTTCCGAAAAGCCTATAGGCATTTGTTCACTGAAATGTCTACTTTTTTTGAAATTTTTAACCACTCTAGTTTCTACATCTACGAAGATAATGTTTTAAGAATGCTGTTGTTCTTTGAATTCTTCCCGTATATTTATCACAACCTATCCACTAGTGCAAGTTCGGAATATACATCCATTGATTGAATTTGAGGTACTCATGGAGGCTGCCTGCGTTTCGTTCTTGCATACGTCTCTTTCGAGGTGAACCTAGGGGTTTCCACTTTACATTTTTCTCCTTTGTGAGCATAAATATGCTCTACTGCTCATGAGTGAGGCGAGAAGCATTAAGAAGTGCGCGCGCTGCGTGCGCGCAGCGGAGGTACCTATGGGAACCTGGCCGGGGTCCACACTATAAGCGTTTCCGCTTCGAAATATAAAAATTCGCATTTCCAAGGGTAAAGTTTGGGGCGCCTTCATAATTAAGAATTATTATGATTTTCATCAAAGACTCAACAATGGAAAGAAAAAACAACTACCAGAAGGAGGAGGAACACCTGCATCGAATGAGACCCTAGTGACGAGCCGTTTAATGTTTCATGAGGTTTGGCATGACTGGACAAAGAATCTAATAGCAAAAATTTTCTTCAAAATTGAAAAGCCAGCTAAATGGCGAAAAATGCGCTATGCTGCACTATCTATCCAACTGCCATTAAAGCCCTTCCAAAAAAACTGAAATGAAAGTTTTACAAAGAAAACTAAAATAAGGGTGCGCAAAATGGGTTGGACTTGATGAGTATCCAACCGACCTTCAAAGATCTCAAAACATTCACAGTTAGAGGAAAATTTCTGCATCAAACATTGCTCATTTGACTGTCATCACAACGATTTGAGGTTGAGTCTGAGAAACGGCACGAACTTTCGGACCGACCTTTGAGGAAACCATACTTTTGTCTGGCCTTGACTACATAGACCTACCCTAATTTCACGCGTACAAGGCGCGTATTTCGTATGAAAGAAGTGATGCTCTTTTTGTTTTGAAAGCAAGAAATGAGGACATTGGCGCCTGCATCGCTCCATCTGGGAGAGCCATTAGAATTTTCTCGTCGGAGATTGTATTATAAAATTACCCTAATTTCACGCGTACAAGGCGCGGGGTGCCTAGCTTTCATCGAGCTGCTCAGCCGCCCCAACATGTTTTAAAAAGCGATCCTTATGCCGCACGATTCGTCAGGCAAAACGCAGCACGGTATGGGGTTCCTTTGGTTGCGAAGTCCATTGCCGTGTTCGGGCTGGTCGATGAAATCTAGGACCACCCCGCGCCTTGTACGCGTGAAATTAGGGTAGGTCTATGTAGTCAAGGCCAGACAAAAGTATGGTTTTCTCAAACGGATGCCACAACCATGAAGCGACTTCATTAGATGTGGTCTCGTTTTTGATGAGAGAAGTCCTTGTTTTTCCTGGCACAAATAAAATCAAAAACTGTAGAAGTAAATGTCTAATATGGAGAGTACATTGCTGAGGTTCGTAGAAATTCTATGAAAGAGGTTCGTTTTTTCAAATATTTGAGAATTTTTATTTATATTATTGGCTATATTATCATTCATTCTCTGACTAAGAGACACGAGAACAAGCTCATAGGAATTCTAACGCGTTTTGGATGATATACTATTGAAAATTCTGAAAAAACATGTTTGAACCTGTTCATCAACACTGTTCGGACATATTATTTCACGACTCCGAATACTAATTTATCAAAACGCGTTAAAACGCACTCGCAAACTTGTTAAGCAGACGTACGCAACATGCCCGTGTTTCTTAGTCAGGGAATGAATGATATATTTTTATTAGCGTCAAACTTCACATTGATTAAAGTTTCAGCAAATGTTTTAAAGCCGTCTTGGAAGCATCTTGCTCTATCAAATGATACCCCACTCACTTTCGCGTTCATCACTCTGCCGCGGTAAAAGTGATGCGACATTATCTTCCGGACAACCTAATAATAGCGAGCTGGTTTACAAGGAAAGGATACTTCGTGACCGTGGCCATTTGAAGGGTTAGTTAGTTAGTTATGGGCTAAGTCCTGAAAAAAGAGGTTCGAAATTCCACCGGCTCCGCCCACCCAATGGAAGTGGGCGGGGGTGAAGTTTTGAAGCCCGTTTTTGGGACTCGGCGCATGAATTGGAGGATGGATGTGGGGCTACGGTGTAGCTGAGAGTCTACTACCTAAAGCTACCAAAATCTGATTAGGGTCCATTTTGCCAATCCAATGCTTTTAAAATGCGATGTATAACATAGGATGCATCTCGAAACGCTGATTCTAAATTGCCCTCGCTCTGCGAGACACTCTTTTAAAGGAAGATACGAACGTTTTCTCTAAAGAAATTTCTGTACTTTTGGATAGTAAAAATCACCTCTGTTGGTTTAGATTACTATTTGATGCTACTGAAGAAATCTTGGACTGAGTACCTGCACTAACACTAAGTGATTCTTATTTATTGGTTCAAATGGCTGTTGTGGTGATTAGATTTTGACCCTTCCAATAGTGCAATTTATGCTTGAAAAAACACTCAAAACTCCATCCGGATTCGTTTCGCAAATACGGAAGGCAATTATTGAGACCAGACTAAAAAGCGCATTTTTTGCACTGTATGCACTTCATTATGAATGGCCACCACGGTCACCAAGTATGCTTCTCTGGTTAGCATAGTTCTCACCTAACGTTATCCGCAGCTTTGCAGTGTGGATGATGGTTCTGAGGAGCCAACTGGTGGCTGGGTACTGCCTCTTGCAATCGCTTTTTCCTTTGATGTAGCACATTCTTCCTTCGTGGACGCTGCATGCACATCAAAAGTGGAAGCCACTGAACAACTGAGCAGTACTCACTGAACCTGGCTATACCGCGACTAAAACCCACATCCAAAAACACAATCCGTACCCAAGGCGGTAAGCGATGGGTGATTGGAGATCGAAAGTAGATGTTGCAGATGATTACTGTGACCAGGATCGTAATAATGTTGAGCACAAAAGTAAGTAGGAGGTATTTGGCAACGAGTGGGATGGACGAAGAAGTTGGTGGCAGAATCTTCGATACTAGCAAGAGAAACACAACGATAGACAGCAGCACGTTCATGGTCAAACCCATCTTCTCACCTATAATGTTTATTTGTACGAATCCCCGAATAAGGGAGATTCTAACCTGAGGCAGTAGGAAGATAAAATACAGTGACATTAAGAAAAGCCATGAGCACTGTGGGCAAGATCAAGACGACGGTGTAAAACAGTGTTTTCCGCCTACAAAAGAATCTCTGAAGTTCAAATTGACCGAGGTGCACGCACCTGATCCTGACTTGAAATTCGATTCGACTCCTATCCTCTGTAAGGACAGCTGGAGCATCCATCATGTCCCATATAGAAGAAGTTGCATACTCAGAGAAGTCCACGCGATCCGCATGTAGAAAATCTAGTTTGAGCTCGTCTCGATTGTACTGAAAAAAAAACTTTTATCTATACTTCTAGGAATAAACAACGTTTCGCTCCAAAAACACGAAAACTTAGCTTATACGATAGCTAAGATAATCTGCAAATGTAGTGTAGTGGAAGATTTGTGCTTGAAGTTTCTTTGAAAGTCTATTTGTATATTGGAACAAATGTTGGAATATAAGTATTAGAATATCTGAATAAATATTGGAAATATTGAAATATATTAGATTGAACCGAAAGTTCGTTCGCACCATTTTCAAAAAAAACATAACTTCTTTCCGTGACGACGATTCTGCGCAATTCAAGTTTTATTAGAAAGCGTAAAGCATGTATTTTCCAATAGTCTTCTGGCCACTTTCCAGCATTTTCAGATTGCAGAGATAAAAATGAAAGAACGAAAACATCCGAAATTCGGAATTTTTGAGAAACAATTCCAAAAATCTAGAAACTGCGCGATAAAATCCAGAAAAGCCATTATCCTAATTTTTCTTATATTTGATTACTAAGTGAGTTAAGTTTGTGCTGATCGAGCTCTTCTTTCAAAAGTTATAATTTTTTGAAAAAAATGCAGAAAAATCAATTTCTTAGGAACTCTTAGGAAAGTGATTTTTCGGAATTTTTTTCAAAAAATCATAACTTTTGAAAGAAGAGCTCGATCAGCACAATCTTAACTCAGTTAGTAATCAAATATAAGAAAAATTAGGATAATGGCTTTTCTGGATTTTATCGCGCAGTTTCTAGATTTTTGGAATTGTTTCTCAAAAATTCCGAATTTCGGATGTTTTCGTTCTTTCATTTTTATCTCTGCAATCTGAACATGCTGGAAAGTGGACAGGAGACTATTGGAAAATACATGCTATACGCTTTCTAATAAAACTTAAAATGCGCAAAATCGTCGTCACGGAAAGAAGTTATGTTTTTTTTTGAAAATCGTGCGAACGAACTTTCGGTTCAACCTAATATATTAGGTGGGTTCAAAGCTCGTTCGCGATTTATCTCAAAAATCTAACTTCCTTCCTTGTCAGTTGATTTCCTTGATATAATTTTTATTCGAAACAGGGAAACCATGCTCTTTACAGCTGTACCTTTGTCATGTATTATTACGAGAAAATTCGAGAGTTGATAGAAGCAATCAAAAAAATTACCCAAGATTGGCATTTTTCCAGAAGGGTTATGAAAAATTCTGAAAGTATTTTTGTTTGACAACGAAAATCATGCGCATTAAGTGGTGCTTTTGCTACGCTTTGAATCGAGAAAGATCGAGAGTTAGGAGCAGTTGAAGTAAATTACTTCAGCCAGTCATAAACATAGGTTTTATGACCTCTACTTTTTAGCTAGGGGGAATTTTAGCCGATCGAGAGCGGATCGATTTCGTAAAAAAAGCGTTTTCTTAACACGTTTCAGACCGCGAAATCGCGCGCGGCGAAAAAGAGTGCACTTTCAGCCATTGGCCAATAAAGGGACCTTATTCTGTAGACTGTGTGCTACATATGTAATCAGCTTGTCAGATAAGTTCCATATCCAAAGTTCTGAATGGATTCGAAGTCTTGAAATTTTGTCGCTTGTAAAGGATTTCTGTGCTTTCCTGAAAGATAGGAACAAGAACTCAGTTTCTAATTGTATCCAAAAGTATCTATGTTGTACACGGTACACATCGCTATTGAAACTATGGTTTTTCTTTTTGAAATCAAAGCAAAGAAAAGGTGCGACGTCGCACGCTCTTCGCGTTGCCGCACTCCGTTGCAACTGTTGTTCAATTTGTCCTCGTATTTCCTAAACAAATATCGGGGCACAACTCCACAGACTCTTTCGAAAAGGAGAGGCTTAGGCCTTTGACTTGATAACCCTGAACAAAAAGAAAACCTCTTGTAAACGTTGAAAAGATCCTCCAGAGCAGCGTGCTGCACCGTGTGCAGCACCGGTCCGAAACGTGTTAAAAAATATAACTTTTCATAGAAACATCGTTCAGCAAGAATTTTGCCTACCTAGAAAGAAGAGACCATAGAACATGCGTATATGTTTATTTTGGTATTTTGTGTAGCATTTTTAAATTATTAATGAGCTTTCCTGAAATTACTAAAAAATCAACAAATTCGTTTTTGCATAACTAATTCTGCGACTTGCGCTTACTAAATCTAACTACGCTATGGTTAGAAATTACATGATCTCTTCATTCTAGAGAAATTTATCCCAGGCAAATCTAAGAAAAGAGTTACGTTTGAAAAACTGTGCCACAAATATTAGATTTTTGCATAATTGACTCCAACAATGTGGTTTTTTCCGAAAGAATCACAGCTAATATGGTAGTATAAATTTTTATGTATGGAAACTACAAGATTTATGAGAAATACAAATCTACGATGACTTTCGCGAAAGATAGAATCAAAAAAACACCTGATGAAATCAAATGATGGTAATTTCGTCACCTCGTAGATCACCGCTGTTCTTGTGTATTACCTACTATTACATATTGACATTACTAATAGGATATTCCAAGTCATTTGGTGTGAACAATGCCCAAGAACTTAGGAGCGAGATGTTCCAAAGACACCGACTTTTTTTGAGCGCTACATAGAGTTTTGTCGAGAATAGTGTCAAAGAAACATCAAACTTATTGGATCAACTTACAGTCCAACTGCCAAATGTTAGACTACATCGCTGGTCGTCGAATGGGAAGAATTCGACATCTGCAACTGGGGAATTTGTACGGAGTTGAGCAAGCAAATTTTATACACATGACCAACCAATAATGCAGCTGCTCTTGTAAATGGCCGGCGGCACCCAAAGGACTTCTCCGGAATGATGGATAAGCACATTGCACATGAATGACACCTCGTAATTCCCATCAGCACTTGAAAAACACAATGATGGGCTAACACTTGAAACTTGATCGGAAAGCGCCAATCAAATCAAATATAAATAAAATCTTGCTATGAGTTACAACATATATAAACCATAGATAAACTTTCATGATCTTCATCCTACGGAAAAAGTAGAACTAAAAATCGACTGACAAAAATTGAGATTGCAACACATAAACTTCAAACAGTTTGGCATTATTATCATAAAAATTCAAGTCCTTAGAGTATGTACGTACTAGTCATTTTACAAAAAAAGCACGATACTTCAGACCTTATGAAATCAAAAAAAGGATAAGAAATCAAATGACTGTAAAGTAAAAAAAGTCATGTAAAACCATTTCGATATTTGGTTATATAGTTGCAGATTACGACTGTAAAAACTGCATACTGCACTGTTCCATTTTAGTGCTTCGAAAAATGAGAGCTACACATCATAAAATTGAATCCGTTTCTCCAAAACAACCACAGTGGGGTAGAATGATTTCTAGCCTGATAAGAGTCCAAGCTGTTCACTTACAACTTGCTGTGTGCCCTCTATTCCTTAGTCTGATTAGAGGAATACGGCTGGAAAGCGAAACTAGTAGGGCTATAAATAAATTTGAAAAATAAGGAAAAGTTCAACGAATTTTTCTAAGTTGTTCGTTTCTGCATGGAGTTATGAAAGTAAATAATCCTTTGCTCAATTTTTTTCACGCTAGGAAAGACATGTTTTACCAAGGAATAAAATAAGTGAAAGATGAGGTAAAATAGCGCGTTCAAGTCCAAAAAAATCTTAGGGTTCATTCGGACCAAGTTTTGCTAACTGAGAAGAGAAAGAGTACATAGATATCGCGGCTTTTGAAGGAGACTGTTTCCTGTCATGATTCTTTACTTGAGCAAAAGTGTCCCAGCGCTCGGCCCAGCTGGCACCGGGTCAAGCTGGATATCGTTTTGGGACAAAAAGCAAAGGATATACCGTTCTTGTGGCTGAAACGACAGAAAAATTGCGACGTTTTCAGTCGTCGTTTCTTTTTTTTTGTGGGTTTGTAACACTTAGGATTTAGGGTCAAAGGAGACTTAATAGTGAAAGTCAAAGGGGATTTCGTTCTGAGACTTTCCTGGTGCCAGCTGGTGGCGAACCCTGGTCCCAATCAAAGAAGTGCGAGAATTTATAAAGATTGATTATTCTTAAGCATGACAAAAGCTAAGGTTGACTCTATTACACAGTATATGATTGGCTCTCTGAACTCACTTATTGAAAAGTACTATGTCTGGTAGCCAGATTTTGTCCGGAGCGACCCTGATTTGTGTGATGCCGTCGTAGTCATTCGGCTCCCATCTCAGCTGGAAGTCGTGCCACTTCTAAAAAGGAGGCGTAAATCTATTGCTTCCTCTGCACGGCTTAGCGTCATCAGAGAAAGCGCAGATTGATGGGCTGCATTGGTATGCGAGAGTAGACATAACTTGTGCCTTACCAGGGTAAGCCAGACATTCGTGTGCATTACTTGCTCCTTCTCGTCCTGTAAGAATCTCATATATCAGAAATGGGAATTAAGTAGCATACCTACCACATTGATAAGCAGGACAAGTTGCATGGCGATTTTTACTATCATAGGCAGTTCGGTTTTATTACGCACTGGTTGGACCAGTGAATTATAGCCTCGAAAAAGGTCCACCATGAGCCGATCCTCCGCATCGGTCATCATGGAGCCCATAGCTGCAAAGTGCATGAGAAACTTCAAGTTGAAAAAAAGGCTAAATCAGCGCCGTGGTGAGCACGGCACCGCTGCATAAAAATCGAGCAAATTACGTTAAGTTTCTCTACGAAACCAGCATAAGGCATAGGAAAGTGAAAAGGACACGGAAGATGCAGATTATAATTCAAATTATAGGCAGGGATAGCAAAGGACATTTCTTGGTACTCCAGGTGTTCGATTTAATTTATGTTATGAGATGTTGTCGAGTACTGTGGACTAGAAAATTGCATTCTTATCAGCATATGTAACTGTTGTGAACAACTCGCGCCTTCATAGCTTGAACAATTACAACTTATCTGTGCTTGAAGAGAAAAAAACTACAATAACGACCCTATTCGACGAATACTTTTTCTCGGGAACGGAATGGTGCGATTCATGAGATAATATGGAGGTTTTTACTGGAACAATAACGACGATGGTGAATAAAAAATAGCTAAGCGAATTTTTAGAAAATGAGCAGCGACGTTCCCTATATTAGTTTGAGGAAAAACTCGCAGTGATTACATTTCCTCTAAATGTGTGTACTTTATTCGACGCTTGGGAACAACAACCATTCTGAGCAGATAGATTGGCAATCTATTTAAATGTAAAGAATTTTTTTTTACAAAAAAATCGCTAATTTCAAAATTTTGCATATTGGTGAGGCACAGGTAAATTACTCTTCTGGACGCATTAGAAAGGTCTAGAAGCGGTTTTATTGAGAGCTTAGAAACAGCTATGAAAGATTGCTACAGATAATTTTAAACTGATAAATAGTTTATCACTATTTCGAACGTATTTAGAAAAAAGTTGTAATTTCATAGTCGTATCGATTTCTTCGGAGCAGCTATCTCACCTTCTAGAAATCATTGTTATTTATATAAACATCTGAAAATATGGTGTTCCTCAAAATAAAGCTCAAGCTCATTAAGCAATTGAAACTTGACTTTCTTTTGTATTAAACTATCGTATCCTCCTCGGAGAGTATTTGGAACAAACTCACGGTCTCAGCTACTGTCAAGCAAGTTTTATAAATCTTATTTCTGCAAAAAAAAGTTCTTTACACTTTTTGGTAAAAAAAGGAAAAGAGAAACTGAAAAATCGCAATTGATATACCAGCAGATTCTGAAAAAATCCTAGAAACATAAACGAGTTAGAGCTGCAATATCGTTCTATGCAAGAAAAGAGCTAGAAATGCTCAAAATAAATTCTTCATGGCTCAGTAGCCTACATAAAAGTAGACACACCGTTAAAGTAGCGACGACACACAGACGGATGAAGAGAATGGACGCTTCCTCAGTGAAATGCATGGACTAAGCCTTGCATCCCCCTCGCCGCGCTTCCCTAAGCCGTCGTTGTTCCGAAATTTTCCAATAACGCTAATCTGTGTCATATTTTGGCCAGGAACGACACTCGCGGCTTGCCACAAATTTATTCTGCATATTTTGTCACAACTTAGGTCAACTAAAGCTTAAGCAAGAAGGGAACTGAGCACGGGAAGCTTGAATTTTCTCTATTATTCATCAAGTGTGCACTTATCATCCAGAAACGGATTCTGAAAAATCTGCCTGTTTTGGTTTCAGCATCGAATTAATACCATAGCACTTTACTTGCAAAAAACTATGAAATGGGTGCACTGTCAATAAAGTAATGATTGGAATAATTTTCTCCCCCGCTATTTGAGCAACAGCAACGAGCATTTGTTAGTTTGAGCATTCTTCAGCTAAGGCACTCAAAAGGCTATTCATTATTTCAGAATGCAGAGGCTTTTAAAGGCAGTCTCATCAAAGTTGGGGTAGTGCGGGTCTCCACATATTTTGTTAGAGGACCCCCTAGATAGGCGACCTCCCCAAGTCCGATTCGATCCGGGCCCTTCTACCCTGGGAAATATGCCCTCGAAGTGGCCCGCAAAGCGCGATTTGGCCTACACGGTCGACGCTCCCGGTTCCCCTTTACGTGTTTTAACATGTCCCTCCACTTGGCGTCCACTTCCATGGTTTTGCTGTTACGGTGACGAAGGCTAGGCTGAGAAGGCACCTTGAACGGGGCTTTAAAAAAAACGGGGTTTTCGTGCATTTTATGCGATTTGGACCCGCAATGAGTTAGATAGGGACAAGAAGGCTTGCAATATGCAAAAATCTCAGATCTCAAAAACCAAATTTTGGTGAACAATGCCTAGAGAGGGCAAACTTATGGAGCGGACTAGAAACCGACAAAACAGCACTTCAAGTGTTGTGCAACGCTGACAGCTGCTACGTGTGCGAATATCATAAACAATGGCAAGCCGTCAGTTCAACTTAGAGTTACTCAAGTATCTAACAGTGCTTATTTTGTTTTGAGCATTTGTATTTTCGAGAGGCAAGTACGGTAAATTACCTGCAAAAATCGAAAAGTCCATGCCTCGATATGTCTGCGAGATTTTGCAATTGCTGTAAAGCTTCAAAATTATGAAGTCGATCCGAAAGTTAGTGCCTCCTCTCAGATTTATCCTCAAATCACTCAGAATAATGATAGGGAATAGATGATATTGATGATGATATAGCTCTCTACTGTTCAATGCAGAATTTCTTTTTATTTCTAGCAATAATGTTTTAGTCTTGAATCCTTTGTTGATCGTTCAAATAATCCTCGAAATCTCCAGTCCATAGTTTTTATGTACCTACAAGCTATTTTTTGAAATTTTCATTTAGATTTATGGGAGTTCCTACAACAATCGGACATAAAAAATGCAACGGAACGCATTTTGGCATCTAAAGCTGGCTTGAATATTTAGAAATATTTTTCGATGCTAGCAAATCTCACATCTAAACATCTCAAACCTCATAAAAAGGGGGTCATTTGTGGTTTGCAAGTTCTTCGAAAATAAAATCATTAGATTTTTTGTTTTCAAGCGCATCCCAGGCGGTAACCGGAAAATTCGAAATTCGATTCGCACCGCTAAACTCTCATTGCGTGATAAAATTAGTGTTCAAGAATAGTCGATTTTTGGGAGTTTTGAATTCAGAAGATTCATGAATATTTGAGCATCAAAGTTGTTGTGCATTTCACGACTTCGCAGAAGTGAAGATTTTCAGAGAAATTAATTTGGAGAATATTGAAAAGCTATTTGAAAAGGATCGATTGATTCATTGTCTTGCACTTTGTGTACTTAAATGTTATCAAAACTCTTTCAAAAGTTTAAAAGGAAAATTATGAAAATTAGCTAAAACTTAGTCAAAAGGCATAAGTTGAAGATTCTGAAGATTATTTGCGAGGCCATTAAAGGACTCCAAACAAAAACATCACTGCTAAAAATATAAAGCTCACTTGAATACTGTTTACCTGTTTTGTTCAACTCTGAAAGATTTGAGTATAGATCTGAAGAACGGCACGAACTTTCGCATCGACGTAATGCAGTCCAAATCCACGAAAGAGCAGGAAGCATAAGGGGAGCTTCGGTTTCTTTGGTTTGGTTTAGATACTGTTCGCCATCTTATTGAAGAGAGGGACAACCAGGTGAATATTCAATGCTCCTTTGTGTTGAATACTACGACACAGGCTGAGATCACAAAATCGAAATTTGGGCGGAACGAAAACCTTGGTCTGCAATTTGTGGATAATTTCGAGGACATAAGTTTGAGACCGGAAAAAAATTTTGAGCCAGAAAATTGCTTCAAGCGATGAAAACTATTGTGTTCTTTAATCGCTTTTTCCTCGCTATTGTCGAACGAGGCAGTCTACCTGAAACAAACTGTTATGGTACTCTGTGTACTCTGTGTTAGCAAGAGAAACATTTGATCGAATTCTTGGTCGACTTCTAGAGTAAAAGAGTAAATGGATACAATCACATTCAAGAACAGACACGCTCTTGGATGTGGTTTTTTTTTTTCAGGATAACGTCCAAATTATAACAGGATATTATATTATATCGATTTTTTCAATCTTCCTCGAAAAAATTAAAAAATATATAAGATGTAGGTCAGGATAAGAGACCTTCAATGTCACCGGTTGTTGCTAACGGTTCATTGTTTCGTTTGACCCTTTAGAAAATTGCTATAGGTTTAGGCAAAGAAGGTGAATGAGTGAGTCGTCAAGATGTTATTGAATACTCACTACTGGAATTTCGTGCACTTCTCGCTCAGGGAAGAACGGACTGACAAACAGTAGGGGCTAAGATCACATAAATCTGAGCAGGTGCTTTTAGTTGTGGAAGTCATACCTTAAAAAGCTGTTTAGTTTTTTTACAATAAAAAGTTGTATTAAGGGCCAGGCATACTTCACGCGATTTCAGTCGCGACGCGATTTGGCAAATCGCCAGAAGTCTTCAGATCCAACATTAGCAAATTGCGCATGCATAGCGTGTATAACTTGCGTGGATTGATGAAATGCCCCATCTTCCGTACATTCAAAATGCGCTTACAACGAGTTATGGACACTTGGAATACTGCCAATTAGCGTCGCGACTGAAATCGCGTGAAGTATGCCCGGCCCTTTATGTAGCGCAAGATTCTGGAGAAAAGAGCGCAAGATGGAGAAAAGAGATAATTACTCCCAAAGAGATAAGTGCCATGATGTGAAGGACAGCGGGTTATAACAAACAAAACAAGAATGGGAACAGAAATGAGGAAAACAGCTTTACTTGGTGAGGGATTCCTCAAGATTTGAAAAGTAAATGATTCCATATACAGAATCGGAAGTTTTGCGAGAAGAGAGAGGTAGTAAAAAGGAGCAAAACAGAGATTACTTAACAATAGATTCTTCAAGAATTGAAACTAAATGATTTCATGTAGAGTCGGGGGAAATTTTTGGAAGGAAAAATAACAGATAAATTTTAAAGTGAATATTTGGATTAACTACGCAAAAAAGGGAATAATGATCATTAAAGTGAGGATGCAGACAATATACTAAGCGTTAATTCATATTTTCTCTCATTATTGAAACAAATGAGGATAACTCTTTTCTCATATAGATGGATAGATCCTCTTTCACCTCATAACCTCAGTTTGATTCACTTAGAACAAAAACATTATAGTGGCTGAAGCATTCTATCTTTTCATGTCTTCGATACAAATATCGCATCAAGAAACTCGAATATCCTCATTCTTATTACAGGTAAACTCGACGTAAAAACTTCTACCAAACTCCTCCTAAAAGATATAACTGGTACACATTTCACTTTCGTAAATAACTGGGGAAACTAGGCCCAGGCCGCAGAAGTTTCAAAGTGGTTGTTACTTCAATGTTTAATGCTGACTTGTTCATTGATTCGTTCTACAGTAATCCCTTTAAATGCCTGAAAAAAAGAAAAACTGGCAGCAGCGAGTGGCACACGCTTCACACTTTGAAGCGATTATGCTTTATCTAATACAAACATCACCACCGCAATTCTTCCAATAAATAATCAATCAAATTACGGCAAAATTGATAATATGCTCCTATGCGCCCAAAAACATGTCAACGAAGGCGATTAACGTTATCTTCTTTTCAAACAGCAATTCAAGCAATATACCAGTAGAGGTTTATTATAACAAAAAAAAGATGGTAAAACGTTACCCATTTCAATTACATTTGTAAAAAGATATACATTGAGGAGCAAAGTAAGTTTTATAGAACGAATCGTAACTTTGTAACTTGAACTTTGAACTTTGAAAATAGAACTTTGTAAGCTTTCTCACAATTTGAAACCTGAGGATGAAGATTTTCCTGAAAAGAACGGGAAAAGAAGTGGGGTTGATTTTCAAAATTTCCACCTGCTCGAAACTGCGTTGAAAGACTTGCCATCCAAGTCATTGCAAAGAACTGCTTGCTTTCCACTGCATGTTCACAGCCTGAGTAGAAGGGTGCATAAATCTTTTAGGAGGATTGTTTCAGGGGAAAAGCATGCATAACACAAAGCACTTCCACGCATACCACAGAGTGTTGTGATATTGAGAATTTAAATCCCTCTTTACTACCTTGCTCAACTTCCCAATGTTCTTAGCAAAAATTTCTCTATGAAAAGCCTGAAGAATTTGCTCTCCAAGTAGTGTGCACAAGATAGAAGAGGCGGAAGAGGCGGAGCAAGACGAATGCTTCAGGCGAGTGTTAATGGAAAGCTCTTTAGTTCGAAGTATTGTTCTCGGCCCCTGAGAGCTCCCCGAAAATCATTAAATAGCAACTAGGCGTAGGGTATTTAAGAATTGCTAGCTTTTTTCAAATCATGAATGACTGCTCGCGAAACTTGAACATGAATTTTTGCGTTACAAAACGATTGCAGTGCCATAGCGAAAGTGGAATTAATGAGAAAAAATCAGCCTACTATGGACCCACTAAAAAATTTGACCGCAAATAACTGCATTCGCATTTTTCAAGTGCATTTTTTCAATTAGATTTGAAGCAGATAATGCAGTATGTTGTTTATTACAATATAAAACTATTACAACTCAAAAGGAGGTACCCTAATTTCATAAGGCGCGGGGGATTTTTTTCCAAAATCGACCAGCCCAGACACGCCAAAGGACTTTACAATCAAGAGACCCTATAACGTGCTGTATATTGCTTAAGAGAATCGTGCGGTATAAGGATCTCTTTCCGGAATACAGTGAAGCGGCTGAGCGGCTCGCTTAGAAAGTCGAAAAAGTGCGCCTTATACGCGTGAAATCAGGGTACTTTTGAAAACTCTGCAACAACTTCGGAATCTTTAGTGAGATCAGAGTCGGACTAATAAGACAACAAGAAAACAATCTCATTTATGAAGTTCTGCGGTAGCACACGAGAATTTCTTTTCGATCGACTGAGAACAGGATAAGCAGTGCAATAATCAATGGACAGCCGTCTGCCGATGCTCAGCCGAACAGCGGTGTGTGTAGCGTTTGCTTCCATGGGCTTACACTTGAACAAAATCATTTATTAGAATCACTCATATACAGCTTATATAAAAATAGAAATCTTAACTGGCATTCTGAAATCAAAAGAAAACCTTGAACAGAACTGCCGAAAGAGAATATACAGGGCAAGTTCCAGGCTGCAGAACCGAATGAAAACTTACATGCATTAGAAGTTTCGTATTGAACATGTAGATGACAGGAATAGCTGTTAATACCATTCACAGTAGGTCAATACGAGATATACAGCAGCTTTCAATAATAATAGAGGAAATGTGACAGAATAACTCAAATTATCAAAAAAAAAAAAACTCAGGAATGGCAGAAAATTACGGCCACAGAATTATGCGATTCACAGAAAAAGTGGAAAACAAAACAGAGAATGAGGCTGCACTTCAACGATAACTGGGAGGCACAATTGGAAATGCTCTACGACCACGAACTGGAGTGCTCTGCACAGCTGAGCAATCATTTAGCTGTTGTAAAGTCGCCAGAATTTTCTTTCCAGACGAATACCTGAAAGAAAATTCATCGAATCGAATTATTATATTTGTTATGATCGTCTGTAAAACTTTACCTTGCAAGACGATGGCGATTTTGGGCGATGCGGGTTTCGAGACGATCGAGCCATTCCATACGCTGGTCGCTATCTGGTAGATTGATTCCAGCTCTGGAATTTTCGTAGCCCATGTTTGATCGCAAATTTGCGACTCCATCTTCATGCATAACAGCAGCGTGCTTTCTGTTCATATTTGATAGGAGAAAGCATTTAAAATGGGAGATAAAGTTTGAGTCATACTCAAACTTGCATAACAAGATACATAGAAGAAACAATACTTTTTTGCGCGGGCTGCTTCGCAACAGATATCGAGCATACGCTGGACAACGTAATTGCCGAACTGGTGGAACAACATGATATCGAGAGCATCCTTTTTGGTTTCCCTAAAGAACAATGTATATTCAAAATCTCAACAATTTTCACTGCTTACGGATGAGGTACGTATCCATCGAATATTTCGTCCATCATTTCTGCCAGCAGCGCCGGAGGAGCAAATTCTAAGGCTTTTTCAACGACGTGTGATGCATATTTTTCTTGCGATAGTGACAGTAAGTTTCTCCTAAACATGTGTCATACCTATATTAAACAAAATCGAAGGTCCGCAAACGCCGTGAAGATTGAATACTTACAGCAGACAAAGTTCGATGAGTCTATCGCGGTAATCTGACAAGGGCCCCGCCTTTATAATGTGTTGAATGACATAGTTTGCAAACTCATTTGAAGCCAAGCGCTCACAGTTTGAGAGGAGATGGCCCATTATTTCTTCAAGCATTTCTGGTCTATGCTTGAGAGGTTTCTGAAAATAAGGCATTAAGACGAAAATGTTGTCCAACCACTGACTCATTGAATTTTCAATGTAGACAGAGCACCAAGCAGCACAACCTCATCTCTCACCTTACTATTGTCGGAAAGAACTTCAATAATGAGCTGTACAACTCGGCAGCCATATTTATTTTCTGCAACACTGAAGAGATCGTCACGGTTCTTGATGAAGTGCTCCACTATGAACTGCCATTGCGAAAGAGGAAACGTTGTCATTATCTGGAAATAATGCTTCGAGCTGCGGATTTCTCGTTTAGTTGTACATAACAAATCTCAACCATGAAAGCTGAAGCGCTTCTTCTAGATGCGAATAACTAAACTCCAGAAACCGAATACTCCATGCATTCTAAGCCACAATTTACGCATAAATTGTATCGCGTTTAGTCACTTGGTTCGTAAGCACATGACTGCCGGTCTGATAGAAAGCTTTCGGAATGAGGAGGGATTTGAACGATAACAAGTGCGAAGGATGCCAAAAGCTGCAGTAAATTCTGCATCGCTAAGGGTAAACTGGACCAACTCATGGCACTAAAGATCGTTGTTTAGTATAAGAGGAAATAAAATTACTTTTTGGATGACGTGGTTCGCATTTTGATCAGTGCACAGATTGACAAGATTGGTACTGTGCAGTTCCACCATAAGAAGGCTTTTCAGTTCCTCAGGCAGGCACTGAAATCACTTCAAACTCGAAAAGATTCATAAGTGTGACACCTTTCAAAAAAGAAAGGTCCCATTAAAAGATCTGAGAGTATGTCGCATTTGCTGAACAAAAGAGATATAAGATGATTTAAGTGATCAAGAACATACCTCGATCACTTTTTGCACAACACGACATGAGTAGCGATTTAGACACATAGGGTAAAGTTTGCGACCAAGCATGTGGCTTATGATCCATCTCTGTTCCGTCTGGTTCGAGTGCTGTACGGCACACTGGATGAAAAAATTTCCGAAAACGTCCGCACACAGTGCCTGAATACTCACCAGTTTCACTGGTCCGAAGAACCTACACGCAAAATTTTTTGAGCCCCGCTTCTCATTAATTTATTCAAAACGTGCAATGATATGTTCCACTTCTATGCATAATCGTTAACGGAAGTGTTTGAAATCTTTCGTACAACGGAAGTGTCTGGAATCTTTCGTTGTACGAAAGATTTCAATCACCTTATTACCAGATCTATAAAGCCGCTTGCACCTGGGTCATGCAAACCAAAACTAGCTTAGCATGAGGATCATAAACGATTTTGAATAAATTTTCTAATATTGAAAATAAGCTCTTATAGGCAGCGTCCGGGCAAAATTTCGAACAGAATTTTCCTCGCTTACCTGGGCTTATTCCTCCCGCTGATTCTGAAAATGCAGCTTGTAGGGCACAAAAACGTCGAAAACGGGCTTTTCTAGAAGCTCTTGATTTGAATTTTGTCGCCTGCCGCCAAGGTTAAGACGCAGAGTCTTCTCGGGACCCTACGCCTTGACTGTGTGCGGTAAGGTAGGTGCCAGAGTAAGCGAATATTTTGTTCAAGTTGGGGTCCCGCGCAGAACTGGCATCACTAATCATTGTGGCATAATGCCAACTTGGCGTTGTGCCACAATGATTAGTAACGCCAGTTCTGCGCGGGACCCCAACTTGAACAAAATATTCGCTTACTCTGGCACCTACCTAAGCGCACTCTGGCTTATCGAACTAACTCGTCCCGGTTGCCGGGGCGTTCCGGTCGCCACGTCTGAAGCGGATTTCTTGTTTCAGAAGCAAATTGGTGCATTGCCAGTCGGACAAGAGCTTACCAGACGGGCGCCACTGTACTCTACATTTTCGTATTTGCCCGGACGCTGCCTTATGAGTCAGCCATCAATGGCTTAAAAAGAAACTCAAGTAGACTGGCAAAAGGCAAGTTTTCACGAGACAGTCAAAACAATGAATCACAAAAATGAAAAGTTCAATAACTGCTCAAATGTTTGAAAACTTAATAAGATCTAAACATATTCCTCATACATTTTACTTCAGATGACATCTGAATAAAGGATTTGGATGTATGAGCTACACCATAAAAATGCTATTAGACAACTAAGTACAGCCGTCTTCTGTTCTTTTCACATCATCGACTTTTCACAGACGAGATAAAAGCAAAAGATGACCATGCAAAGATGGGTGGAGATATGCAAGTTACTGAGCACTAACAAGCTTCAGTACAAAAAACTAGCCAACTATTAACAATATTCTATCAAAGGAGGTTTCTGACGGTGAGCACAACACATTTTGTCCAAATGCATCCCCACGATTAGGGTGTGACACTACTACCGAAATCGAATATTGGCGGGTAATACAGGTGAATCAAAACGGAACACATTTTGATGATTTTTCTCCCAATACTGAGCTGGAAGAGCCCAGACAACACCGATGCAATTACACCGACTTGTTTCAAACCCGCTTCAGTAGCATAGTAACAACTGATATTGAAAGCAGGAGCGAAGCTTCTCAGGTCTGAACGATTGTAAAGGGCTCACTCCTGTACTGTTCGTACCTCAAATAATTCTCCATTCTCCAGCAACTTCTTTCCAATGGCCTCTCTTTCCGGTGTCCCTTCCGGCGGATAATTTGCCTGCAGGAAGCTGAAAGATGCACAACTTGTTACCTGAAGCTAGCTGACAAGCAAAGTAAGTACTGATGAAATGCTAAGAAACTCTATATAGAATGGAACAGTCTAGCTATTGCATGTAGCTTCAATAAGAGAAGAATGTAAATCATTCTAATCATTCTTTGAGAATGCAGCTCTTTGCAAGCTACATGGAAAATCTTACTAGTGATAAAGAAGTAGAGACTTGAACAATTATGTCTCCAAACATTACCGTTATCACAACTCAGAGGAGTTCTCACCATGGATGTACTTTTTTAGCCGACATTAGCTCTATTAACATCAGTTAAGAAGATGTTGTAGATGAAAAGAAGACCCAGTACATGATTTGGTGGCGGTCAAGTAGGCTACAGTCCTTGCTCAACTATGAAATTTAGCCTTAACTTACTAATTTCACCTATAATAATAGCCAAAATCGAAAAAAATATTGCTAGTATACTTGAGTATCAAACAAAATATACAACTCCATTCCATTAAAAAAAATGCGGCGCTTTTCCAATGTCTAAAGTCTCAACTGAAAAGGATCACCTAGAACGAAGCGTCAGATGTCATCATACTGTTGCTGGGAGATATCACTTTCATTACGGTGGCTCAGAACCATATTGTAAACCCACGTGCAACCAGACTTGTCTCGAGCAAAGACTGCCAATAAATCCTCATCGAGAATTCTAGCCAGCGGAGCGACTATGCGACCCTGTCCATCCAAAACCCAGCTGGGTAGAAGCGCACGACTACGAGGGTCCACGTAAGAGGAGGTGTCCATCTCCACCCCCTCATCCAGTCGAAGCTTCGAAAACGGAGTTACCAAGGCTGAGGACATCGGAGACTGAAATTAGGCTCAAATAGTGCCCCTTCTGAGCGTATTTTTGAATCTGCAGTACCTGTTCCTGAAACTGATGCTGAAGATAGGGAGTGAATGGCGGAGCATTGCCATTTAGGCAGCTGAGAGGTTTTCTTAGATCGGAAGCATCACTCTTGAAGGAAAGCGGAGCGAACCCGGGAGGAGAGCCTGGGACATCCTCTGAACAGTTATGAATTGGATAAACAAAGAAGAATACAACTTTTCCTGCATGTCCTGTCATCTTGCAGATTATTTAGAGAACAGCAAAAAAGCTCGTAATGTATGCTTGATAAGTCTTTCCACCTGTTTAATCGACAACCATTAGTGACACACAAGGTCAGCTGACAAGGGAAGTCACTTAACTTAGGTCGGCCTTTTGAAAGGAGACACATATATTTTGAATCAGCTCGAAACGCTGATTCCAAATATGATGTCCTTAGCTGCGAAGCGTTCCTATGAAGCGAGTTATGAGCTTTTTTAGTATGTGTCATTGACATACAACTGAATATGGAAAGAGGCCTTTCGATGAAAATCTGCCCAAAAAGTGGTGGAAGATTGACATAACATCAAATTGAGTAACTTGGCTTTGATAGGGTGTAGTATGCATTTGAACCACTACCTAGATGATGACACCGTAGAATGCCTAAGTCAGTCAACACGCAAAGTTTGCTCAGGAAAAAGCATATAACTCGCTTCAGAGTAATGCTTCGCAGCTATGGAAAGCAGAGTTGAAATCAGCGTTTCAAGCTGATTGCGACTATATGTGTCTCATCCCAAAATGCCGACCTAAGTTAGGTGACTTCCCTTGTGAGTACTAAATGGATTTCTCTTTTATACGCATCCTTTTGTCGAAAATATGAGATGATTTCAGTTGTAATTTCGTTTGTTCCCACTGCATTTTCTCAGTGCATACAGCCAGAAAACTCAAAATTAAAAACGATCCAGCCTATCATTAAGCTAGCTTACTACGGTATCACAGTACATTCTCTTTATCGAGTATAGATTGAGAATGGGTAGTGCATGACAGCTACTTTTTGGTTGCAGAGAAAGCCAAGCTTCTTCCGTTTTCACGCGGTAATCCAACAACCAAATCCATCTACTGACCACTGGTCCTCGTATACCTGGCACACTTCAAGTCTTGAAGATAAGTGGGGAACCAAACATCATTTGAAACACTTGGCTTGATACTTGCACTTCCTCCCAATAATAATTTCCCAAAACCTGCGAAATCACACACACCTCCAGAAACTATCATGTCTGAAACGTCTGTCGCAAATGTGTCTGTAAATCTCTCCCAACGGATTTTAAGGTAGAACATTAGCCACAACATCCAAGTTCAGATAACTAACTTGGCGCTTCCAAACGTTCTCAAAGAATGATAATACTTACCGCAAGAAGTGTCGATTTTCGAGTTTGTGATGGAGATTCCAGAGTCAGATAGATGAGGAGCTTCTCCACAATAGACAGGGCTGGTGAAGGTGGAGCGAACTCCAAGCCCACAGGACTGTCCCATTTGGAAGTTTACAGGAACTTGACTCGTCATACTCATTTTGACAGTTCAGTATGGTACAGAGAGTGTAACGACGTGCGCTGACGAGATGCCAGCCTGCGGCCTGAAATGCGTATGATTGACCTGGTACGAAGTTACAGTGGCACGGGGGGCAAGAGCCAGCACCCGAGGACAACTCAAGCGCTTAGGATGGAGACTGTCAGGGAAGAAAGTGAAGAACATACGCGACGCCGGATTCGAGCTGCGCCGACGAATCAGAGAAGCCGAGAGGTGGGCCCATGCCATCGATCAATAAGCATGACCACCTCGAGCACTTCCGACCGCTTCCCATTTCGTACACTTTGCCGCCTTAATGGAGAAAATTTTTTGGTAGGGACCAGCATGAAGGGAAGAAATGAAGAACGTTACCTCCTCTTTTCTTCCTGTACACTCTGTCTACGCAGTACGGTCAAACAAGTGCCAGTCTTTTCCTTCTGTGACAGCATTGCAGTTACCCAGCTGAAAACTTGGATAGCTCAAGGTTACTAACCATTAGTCCGTTGGCCAAGATAATCTCAGTGTCGCCCTTCAAGGTTCCGTTACTTTTTGAACAATGCTCCTAAACCTTGTTTCTTTCCACTGGGTGAGAATGCATAATATCTTGAAATCAGCGACTCCTTACTATTCTCTCAGACGATGTCATTCTGCCGAGAACTCTAGATCAACACAACATTGTGACATTTCCTCCATCACTCGAGATGTGTGTTCGAGCTGCATTCAAATCACTTCTGACAAGGCTGCAGCGCTGTGGGACCATCCGTTGGCCGCGTCACTGATCTCGAAGTTCGAGAACAGTTCCGGCACAGCGCTCGAACTGAGCGCCGAACTGTTTCCGTACTACGGGATCAGTATGAACGCACCCTTAGCCGCATTACTGAAAGCTAGCAGATGGCGATAGATTGTGGTTTTTGAATTTCTCCAGAGTCAAACATTGCTCAGGAAGATATGTCTGTGATCGGCTCCCAGATTCGTGTGGAGACGGGTTGCGGACTTCCCTGATTTTAAGAATAAGCTCAACGAGAGAGTACGAATTCCAGTGCTATAACGTGGAGGTTTGACAAATTTATCCTGAAAATCAGGGAAGTCTGCTACCCGCCTCCACACGAATCTGGGAGCCGATGATGCACAGTATGAAGAAGAAAGCGCGCTCGAAATTCCATGGGGTAGGGGGCACCTGAGAGACAATACGCGTGAAATGCAGTTAATAAGAAGCTGTCGTTAACTTCTACGAAATACTAATGGCATCAAGTCATATATCTACACCCATCTTCATCCCCTATTTTGTTGCCAGGATGTCAGTCCAACAGAATTTTTGTAGTTCACTCCTCAAGCGGCTCATCAACGGGAGCTCATTTGACTAACATATTGGGTTGCGTTCGAAAGTTTCGTCCGATATGCAATGTGCTGATTCAAAACGTTATAGCTTCTTTCAGAACAAACATTTTTTGACACTTTGATTTTTGCTGAATGAGCAAATTTTTTTCTATCACAGGAGCAGCAAAGTACACAAAAAGAACAAGCGAGATAGAAGCGAAATTTAGGCTACAGCAAATCTTCCCAAAACCGTCTGTTTTGACTTAGTAGTGCTCTCCATTAACGATAGGCAGACATCTTCAATATCCATCTTTAAGTAGCCTATGTTCCAAAGATGTATAGGATAAAAATGCATCAAACGTTTGATCTTTGGTAACTTCCTTATATGGAAAGCTTTCGCGGATCCGCGGGTGCCCTACGGTAGGGCTAGCTTTAACTCACATTCACACTATGAAGCGGATCACTGATTTCTCTCCATTAGTTTTAGGCTTCTGACAGGCGAGAATTGCTTCTACAAAATTCCTTAAAAACCAAAGGAAGTCAGACTGAGGTTTTCGGAATGCTGAACTTAATTACAAAGTTTTCACTACCGTATTCCTTAGCTTCTTACGATATGCACACTGTAATGTTGGATTTTTGGCTTTTTTTTTCAAATTTACGAATCAACGTTGCAGTTACAAACACGTCAAAATCAATCAATCAAATTAACAAGATGAAGTAGAATTAGTATCTGTGTTTAAGTCCTGATTTTGGCAATTTTTTGCACTCATTATTTGCTAATAAAGAACGAAGAAGTCTTTATTAGCAAATAATGAGGCAGCGTCCGGGCAGGTTTGCACATTCTCGAATACTATCATAACCGAGTACTATGGCCTCGATCTAGGACTATCGCGCAAATCCGACTTTCGAACATCCCCTACAAAAGGAGAAAATCGGAGCAGAAAAGGCCGAGCCTCGAGGACCACGCCCACTCCCTCGCACCGCCTGCCCCCTTGACCAAACTCTTCCCAGCCCTTCACGTGTTGTGGCAAACATAGTCGAATAGATACTGTGTAACTGTTAATGCTTGCTTTCGGATAGCATTAGGAGCACTCGTCCACGGTTCTTTACAAATTTTCTCAAAAATGGGTTTTTTGAGGAATTCACGCATTTTGAGTTTACATTTGGAATCAGCGTCCCGAACAGGCCTGGATAAGACAAAAAAAATAGAAGTCGAGATTCTGCCTGGACGCTGCCTTTGATGTCCAACTGAACTTTGCTTGACAAAGGCAACATTGACTTAGTAATTCTTGGAAGAAAGTGAAAAATTCAGCGTTGCAGTGCGCATACCGTAAGAAGCCGAAGTGTACGGTAGCGGATCACTTTGTAATTAGATTCAGCACTCCCAAAAATCTTAGTTTGACGTCCTTTGATTTTTTCGAGAATTTTCTAGAAGCAGTTCTTGTCTGTCAGAAGCCGCTGATTCCAAATGTAGCACTCAAAATGCGTGAATTCCTCAAAACCCCATTTTTGAGACAATTTGTAAACACCCGTGGACGACTGCTCCTAATGCTACCCTTGTAAAGCAAGCATTGACAGGTACAGTCGAATCATTTCGTATCATCATTTGTGACATTGTACACACCGTCCACCTTAGGCGTTCCCAGGATTCTTGGAGGAGGCAACCCTTCAGGCAGGTGTTTACAAAGTGTTTTCAACGTTTTCTTTGCTTTTTTATACTATTCACCTCAAAGTGATGTAGGCGATAGTAGTAGGTCAGTCTCCTGCGTTTTGGGACTGCAAATCCAGGATGTGGACGCCAAAAATGGATGGTGTGTGCGGGTGCACGCATGGCCGTATGAAATGGTTCGATTGTAGACACTATCTGTTCGACTATGTTTGCCACAACACGTGAAGAGCCGGGGAGAGTTCGGTCAAGGGGGCGGGCGGCGCGGGGGAGTGGGCGTGGTCCTCGAAGCTCGGCCTTTTCTGCTCCAATTTTCTCCTTTTGTAGGGGATATTCGAAAGTCGGATTTGCGCGATAGTCCTAAATTGAGGACATATTACTCGGTTATGATAGTATCCGAAAATGTGCAAACCTGCCCGGACGCTGCCTTTGAAGGCACTTCCACCCGAATTCTCGACTTCCATGTTTTTGTCGATTCCAGGCCTTCTGAAGGCCTTGATTTCGAATATGGAGTCGAAAATCCGCGAAACACCCAACCCTGTTTCGACCTCTGCAGCAAGCGTAGGCGAGATAAAGCATGCAAGTGGGCGGGGCGACCATGGTCGCCCCGCCCACTTTGCTACTTCCGGAGCGGATTTCTCGCTCCAGAAGCAGTCTTTTGCGGTGCAGCTTGGAGGTTTGCCTAGTGTGGGGGCCCACACAAGTACGCCATCATAATCTCGCCAACCTCCATTTTGGGTGGACGGTGCCTTTAAAGACTTCTTCATTCTTTATAGCAAATAATGAGTGCAAAAAATTACAAAATCAGGACTCAAACACAGATATTAATTTTACTACATTTTGTTAATTTGATTGATTGATTTCGACGAGTTTGTAACTGCAACTTTGATTCGTAAATTTAGAAAAAAGCCAAAAATCCAACATTACAATGTGCATATCGTAAGAAGCTGAGGAATACGGTAGCGAAAACTTTGTAACTAAGTTCAGCATTCCGAAAACCTCAGTCTGACTTCCTTTGGTTTTTTAAAGAATTTTGTAGAAGCAATTCTCGCCAGTCAGAAGCCTAAAACTAGTCGAGAGAGAAATCAGTGATCCGCTTCATAGTGTGAATGTGAGTTAAAGCTAGCCCTACCGTATGGCACCCAAAAATCCGCGGAAGTCTTACATGTAAGGAGGTTATGAAAGATCAAACGTTTGATACATTTTTTGGAACCCTCTGCACTATAGCTAAAAATTATCCATGAATTTTTTACTTTTGAGTCCTCTTCCATGCATGCAAATCATACTGACTTTTTTATATTTGGTACTTTTTTTACTTCAAATGAAAAAGGCTAATTGGCTGACGGTCTCTGCTTACTCTCGCTTTGCTCTAGTTTAGTATTGAGTACATCAATTGTCGAATTTCATCAAAAAGGCCTACAAAGCTTTTTCAAAGTAATAACACTAGTGTGTTACGATGGCCAGTCTTCTTCCTGAATGGGAAGGAGTTAGTTGGATAAACACTGTCATCATTGAAAGAGGGTTGTTTGGCTTTTTCAAGCGCATATGGTTCATCCTTAAGATCGTGACGACGAATTGACTGCGGTCCTTGCGCACACAAGAGCATAAAACACCCATACAAACAGGCATCTCCTTAACGTCCAGCACAGTGACTTCCAGTGTCTAGGTACTATCACATGTAAGCAGAAAAACCGCTCGACTAGAGATAGAAACCAGGAAGTGGGAGTGGTGCACGTTGCGCGCGGTCGCGCCATCGTCACAATTTTTCGAAGCCCTGTACTTTCAAGTATGCGCTCAAGAAATCTTGTAAAAATGTTAGTAGTTTAGCAGCCGACCGAGGTTGGTAGATGTTTGTTGGTGGTGGCCTGACGTTTCAACTTGTCCGTCTTCTTCAGAGACCGAAAGTGGTAAGATCAATGATTTTATGTTCTAGCCCAGCACAAAGCTCTTACATCCCCGGCTTCGAGTCTACTCGCGCTCCCCTCCCCTCCCCCCCCCCCCCCCCCGAAGTGCTATAAACAAAAACACGCAAGTACGTGAAACACGAAACAACTTCAACCAACGCTGCAGCCGAGATCTTGAATGCGGCCGTCCTTTGTGCCACTATAGTAATACTGAATACAGTGCAAACCATACTGACATCAATTAGTAGTGAGACTCTTCAACTCACATACTGCCATAAAAGGCGTAAGGTCATTCGTGACTGATGGACACTGATTTTGGTTGTTCATGCATGGCGTTTCTCGCGAAAATCCCGAATGCCTCG